CAAAAAGTTGCACTTGAACACACCACACCACTCCAGCCGACGGCCAACCACCACGTACGGGAGGAAATAACTCTCCATGCCAGCAGGTGGAGGTAGTCTGTAGTTATGATACGAGAAGACCATTTTCACACCGCTGTCGGTCACCCCTCGTATTATAGCTCGTCTACTAATGGAGAATAATGTCTGATAAAAAGTTGAAAATGGCGCTGGTGTTGTCAGCTCTTTTTCTTTTAGTGGAAAAGAAAAGAAGAGGCGGAGGAGACAAATAAGGAGAAACCGCACTAATGGGTGAAAGCGTGGATACTACAGCGACATGCTCAAGGGGCTTTACTGAACCTGTGAGGAGAGCTGGAGAGAAATGAAACCTCCCAACAGCCAATCAGAGAGATTCCTCTCACCAACCGTTGACGCCGATTCAACATGTCGTATCGGCTGAAAAAAGGCAGACGGGGGTCGACAGGTAGCGACGCAGTTGGACTGGTGTGTCAGGCCTTCTAGGACACCAGCTCCTTGAGTTTTTATATCATTCTGCAACAGATTCCAGGCTGAGGGTGCAGAATACCAAAAACGCCCTTTTCCCAATTTCTGGCAGAGTGTTTGGGACAGAGAGCGTAAAGAGGTCCTGAGATCACAAAGAATACAGTCCTGTACTTTTCTGTGTGACTAAAACACAGAGGGAGCAGATAAAGCTTTGCCTTATATATATGTAAAGGTGTACCAGTGGCCTACGGGTCACCAGAGAACAGCACCCAACCCCAGATTATAAATGTTATAAGATCTGAGATGGTCAAACCAAGTTTTAATTTCACTTTAGTTTTAGTGAATCTTGGAATCCAAATATTTAATTTCATTCATTTAATTTTGCAATTAAATTGTTAAAAACAAAGAAAAACGCACTAAGCTGTCATGAGCATGCTAAGTCAACTACGATGTCCTTGACATGCAAGGACGTCTTTGTTTTCGCCATTCCTCTGCAACGACCTAAGTGGATAAAATAGTCCATTCCGGCGTCTCTGCTAGTCCACATAGTAGGAGAGTAACTGTGTATGTATGTGTGAGCGTGTAAAAAGTCCAGTTTTTCCAAGTCCAGAGTTTTCCAAAAGGTGAGTTTTCAGTGACCTAAAACGCAGTTTGCGTACGAAAGGCCGAAATGCTCAGAAAAAGCAACATTTAAAAAATACCGACAACATGTGGACTAGGCCTTTGTGTGCAATGATGTTAGCTTACAGTATTCAGAACCCCTGGCGGAGGGAGGCAGAGGGATCAAGCAGCAACCTCTGGTGTTGAGAAATGTGTTATGTTAATATTTTTATTTCATTTTCTGTTTGACTTCGTCTCTTTCTTCCTTCGTGTTGCTTTCATTTCTCTTGTGTGTATTTTAATTGCTTTAGTCTTTAGTGTTTCCTGTTTTTTTTTGTAATTTCTAACCCTCATGTCTCTTTATGTCCTGTGTGTATTATGTCTGATTAATTATTCAGTTCTCTGTGTGTCTTAGGTGTTTCCTGTTTTATTTTCTTGTCTTACTTAATATTTGTTTGTTTCAGTAAGAAAATATTTGTTTTTAAATTATTAGTTAAAGGAGCAGTATGTAACTCTGACACCTAGAGTTTGAAATGGGTACTGCAGTCCAAATTCTAAACATTGTAGAGAGCTGTCTCCCACACAGGTTGCCATGTGGTGGACACTGAAGCTTCAGTGTTTATCCAGCTCTGCATCGGTCTGTAAACCTTTCTGCGTTCTAACCTCTCTCCATTTTTCAAAAGCATCTCCAATATTGATCCTAGTTTGAGCACGTTTCTGCTCGTGGAGCTTATTAGAAACATGAAGAGGCTTTTTAGGTCGAGTACAATCACTTCTATCTGAACCAGTTCAACCTGATAACTGGTCTCATATCTGGCAAACCGAGGGGCGTCCAAAACGGCCGTGTAGGGGTGCCTTAAAAGCGCCTACCTTCTCTGGTCCAAACAAATCCAGAGCATTCAGGACCAGAATCTAAAGTTAGAAGGAGGACATACTGGCTGCTGCATTGTTGTCAGAGAAGCCAGCACTTCAACATAGCATGTTTCCTTAATGTCTGATCATATAGTAAACACATTTATTGTAGAGTTGATGTGATTTTTATTGAATGTCTGGTTGTATAGATTGTCTGTACGATTGAAGCTAATATAGATATCTTTGACTTCTGAGTGTAAGTGACTGAGATCAAATCTCCCTTCACACAGGAGTTTAGTTAGTTATCAGTTTCTCTTTGTGGCCTTCTTTCTCCAGACACAGCAGAGACGTGCTGGGAGAGTCTGACCAGTGTGAATCACTCTGGCAGCAGATTTGGCTCTAATGTGATTCTCCTTCATTTCCTTCATAAACACTAATTGGATCAGCGTGTCGGACATGTAAAAGCTAATGTGCTCGGACCGGTCTCAACCTCAGCTCCTGATTACTAAAATATTACTCACACGACTTCCACCTCTCATTACGAGTGTGTCATGGGATGCTGAATGTTCCTGCAGGATGTGACCTCATGTGTGGGCGTATGAGTGACTCCTAACGCTCCTTTTAGCATTGTTCTTATTTAACTCAGAGCGGTGACACACATGAGATCTGGATTGTAGAACAATGTTTCTAATTATGCAGCTGTTGAGTCCTGGAGAAGGTGCTGGACCTCGACTCATAGGGGACGTTAGTTTTTTATTTGTTCACAAATAGATGCATGGACTGCACTCCTGAGGACTGTCCCTGAAATCTTCCCGACTTTATCTTCCTGATAATCTGACTTTGTGTGTGGTTTAGTGTACTTTCAGACAAGTGCAACAAGTCTGAGCTCCACTTTTTAAAACCTAGTTGAGGCGGCCCTGTAGCTTGTTAGGTTGTGCCTCCTCTTTTCTTGTGTTGCAGGTTGGTGTAATTAGTAGGTGTGGTGTCCATCAGTCTGATTGGGAGCACCTGGGCCCGGTGCTCACAGTCATGATATAAGCTGCTACTTCACTCTACTTGGAGAGACCTTTCTACATGTGCTTTTTTGTTTTGTTACTTTGTCTTTCGTCTCCATCCAACAGATACACAATACACTTTCACACAACCAGTCACTTACACTATTGATACTACTGACATCCATACTTAATTCCTTTTGCAAGTTAATTCATATTTTTGTAAATAAATTAGTGTTATTAATTATTATTTCGGTGTCTCTCCCTTTACTTGCCATGGCTTTTGAGCCAGTCATGACAAAGTCAACTTCTGCTATTATTGTGTTCATATAGCACTTATTAGTAGCAGGCCTGGTTCAAGAACAAAATGACTAAGGGTGCATCTGAGATTAAAGGGGGTGCAGCTACAGTGACTGGCAACAGTATTGAAAAATAGCGTAGGTGTCATGTGATCCCCGGTGAACAGACAGGACTAAGCACCTGACATGACCATCAGATCATCGATGTAATTAACACGATCTGAGTCACTGTTGTCATTTGAGAGCCTCGATTACTTACTGTAAAAAAAACTGTTGTTATTTTTTTGCGTCCATTGAGTTGAGGGTGCAGACATTTAAGATGAGGGTGCAATGCGTCCTTTGCACCCTCGTAGAACCGGTCCTGATTAGCATCAGTATCTATGCTTATGATATAATGCTGTCTGGCAGCCCATTCATGGAAAAAAGAAAAGTTGGGCACATAATTCATTTTTGATCCATTAATACGTTAAAGTATGGCACTGGAGAAAACTAGTGCACACACATCCAGGCAAAATGTATACAGGTGCAGGACAAGAAATGTAGCTAACTGCAGAAAAAACTAGATTAAGCAATTCCTGAAGAAACTGCAGTGAGAGCTGGGAAAGCTTTGAGCATAAGCAGCTACCATCACAGCCATGGCTGTCGAAGCCATCGCTACCACAGTCGCTTTTGCAGCTTTTTCTACCTCCATGCTGCAAGAGCGAAGATAACACAAGTCTCACACTTGTAAATGGTAAAACGCTTTTCTAGTCTTCTGACTACCCAAAGTGTTTTTACACTGCACAACTACACATTCACACACTGATAGTAGAGCCTGCAATGTATCGAGACCATCAGAAGTCACTAATCCCATTGGCATTAATACACCGCCGACGAATTCTGATTCTGAGGATTCAAAGGTCCCTGTCCTGTTAAATTGTTGATCAAGCCTGTGGGTGCGCAACATGTGACAATTATTTTATTATTCTGTTTTTTCTGCTACATTCTTCACTTTTGATTTTAAAGAGAGAAAAATTGTTTTGAAATTGGCGCAGAGGCTCGTGCAGTTCTTCTCACCTGGATGACATCAGTGGTCCGGGTCAGGTGTTGTGCCGAGAAATGCATTCCTGCTAAGAACTGCATGCACCTGGTGGAAGTGTTAGAAAACGATATAAATCGTATTTCTTGGGAAAAGATGACAAACCTTATACCACAGCAGGGGCTCAAAATGTGTACATTTTGCAATGACAGAAAACCTCCCTAAAGAGGCCCCATCTGACAACACACCTCGTCCATGCCCTGGGAAGCATCGCTTGCATTTACAAACCAAAGTTTGTTGATGGAAGTCAGCGGAGAAAAAAGGAGATGAATGATCTGTGTGGGAGTGAAAACGTAACGAGGACTCAGCGTCAGGACCCTGGCAGACATGATGCTGATCAGCGCTTGTTGTGGAGGGGCCCCCTATGAAGTTTTGCTTAGGGCCCCAACAGACCTCGAGAATTTCCCCTGCCTGCCCACAGTTTGTCTCTGAAGTGTCTGCAGAGTAAAATAAAGGGTGGATGCAAAATATAGCAGCATAGTATTTTAAGTACTGACGCAAAATTCGGCAGTGTTGCAACTGTGTCTGTTATATTGTGTTTGCATTGTCTAGCGAGGGGAGTGCAATTATCGGCAGGGATGCATTTCTCGGTGTAACACCGGCCCTGTCACATCCAGCATCACTTCACCTCTCCACGTTTCCAAGTCGCTGCCAGCGGATCCTCCTCCGCCTCCGCGCGCTCATTGGTGGCGCCAGCTGCGGGGAATTCCCTATCCGCGTCCTCCGTCGGAAATGGCCGTCAGTTCCCGGTCCTCCATTGGACTGAGCCGCTGTCAGTCGGCCTCCCTCCTGCTGAACACCGTCCGCCTCTCCGGCTCTCCGTCTCCGTCATATTGGCTGCGAGGAGCAGCAGCGAGCACGGCTGAGAAGAAGACCCCCACCATGACGGGAAACGGGGCTCCCGCTGCGCTTTAAAAAATGATTTAGCCCTTTAAACATTTTTACTAGTATTTTACTAATTAATTAGAAAATAATCGGGATGATACCTTCAAGTATCCGAGAACCTTTAGTGCTTTCCTCCGACACCGTGGTCCACCAGGGGGATGTAGTCCTGACTTCTCTTCAGAGCCGCTTTCTGCAGACAAAGAGTGCTTGTGAATAAAGCTTTCAAAGACACACGGGTAAGAGATATGAACTCGAGAAACGACCCGTCACTACTTCACATGGACCCCTTTGTCTTTACATCATCTTTACGCAAAATTACAAAAACCGGGTTTATTCGTGGTGAATTATTGTGTCGATTCTCCTCGAGCTAACACGCTAACCCCACTAGCCGAAGCTAACACGCTAGCCCCGCTAGCCGAAGCTAACACGCTAACCCCGCTAGCCGAAGCTAACATTAGAAACTCCACTCCAGGGAATGCTAACCGTTAGCATTTTTGACAGCTCCAGAGTCTGAACTGCTAGTCGACTCACCAGGCTGTATTTGAGACAACTAGCTATATTTACTGACAACACAAAGAGATTGTTTTTACAAATTATTATTATACATCTGTCTTCCAACAGACTACACTGAAGCCGAGATAATGATTTATTCTCGGCTGTAGGCTACGTTAGCAGTGCTAGCATTCAGCTAACTCGGATGGGACCAGAGAGAAGTGGGGCCTCCAGAAACCTGAAGGCCTTCCAACCATTTCTGTACACCAGCTTTAAAAACTACAGATTTGTCCCTTTATTTGCCATCAGTGGTAAAGGTTATCTGTTTTCTGCAGAAGTATTTTCCGGTAGTATAAGGGGATCTCACCTTCAACCACAGATATGTATGTAGAGTTATATTAACACCAAGACAGGTATGGTCTAATGTGACAGGCTTAATGTCCTTAAAATGATTGTTTGCTCAAAATGCAATCAAAAGGAAGGTTTTGTTCAACTGATTTTAGCTTGACATAGGTCTCTGCTTGACTTGGGTGTTGTTTTTATTATTTGCACTGCTTGAAAATGCATTTTCAATTTACCAGATTGTGAGAGAATAGAATAGATCTTAATTTTCCACCAAAGCTGGGAATTCGCCTAAAGCTGGCGACTAACTAAACGATTTTCAAATATTTAAAAAATGTGAGCCCACAGACATAAGGACAGTGTCAAACGATTTGACGACGACACTACTAGACGATTCAGCCAGACCAGGAGACCATACAGCTGCTGTCTGTAGTTACAATTTAACAGATGAGATCTCACAGAAACAAACGTGACTTCGGGAAAATCAAATATTCAGGATGATCGACGTTGTGGGCTTGCTTTCCTCCTGTGTTGTTTTTTTCAGCATAAAAACAGAAAATGAAAAAAGTGTATTACGGGATGAAATCCTGGGTAAGAAGACGGATTTTGTGCAGCTTTATACAACTTGTAGCGCTAGCTGAAGGTGAGTTGTGAGAGTAGGCAGCATCCGGCTGGTGACGCTTCCAAGTGTGCCCGCTCTCATTGGCTGCTGCGGGTATTCTGTCAGAGGCAGTCGAATTGTAAATATCAAACATGTTTAAATGGTTCAACCGTGGCCAGCTTTAGACTCTCACGATACATATTGAAGTTCATGTCAGGGTTTAGATCTCTTCAGTCCTTTTTAAGGTTAAGTATGATTATCGCTCTTTGGGTAAATAACTTCTTAAATACATTTTTAGATGCCATAGGGCTCAAACTGGTTAAAGAATGATAATTATCTGCCATGATGCTCCTTGCTTTCTTCCTTATCTTATCAGGAAATAGTTGAGACCTAGGCTTTTGTGGTTTGCCCACTTTTTCGCCTGTCGATGAGAGTTTATTCTTAAATGTACAGCTCAGGTGATCGTAGCAGGAAGGAAGATGATAGTTAAAACACACTCAACAATAGATCTGTAGATTAGTTTTAGAATTTGCTGAATGACACCAAGGCCACCGAGTTTCTCTAAGTAGATAAAGTAACTGTGAGCATTTTTTGAAAGAAAACTCTTTATTTTTAGAGAAGCTAAGCTGGCGGTCCAGAACTGTGTCAAGAGCATAGTCTGGTGGCAGCCACAAATTGATTTTTTGATGAAAAAACTTAAAAGTAAAAGTTTTAAGTGTTGAGGTTGAATTTTGAAAAATCTGTGAGATTCATAAGCGATATACAGACCATTATGCATTCAAACCGTTTCTATTTGACAGCTTTTGTATTTTTAGAAGTTTGTTTTCATTTGACTTTTGTGTTTAAACATGGCCGTTAACTTTTAAGCTTTTTACCAATCGTGTGCAGACACTTAACCATCCACGTTTATATCTTAAACGTATACTAGAAACAAAGATGGTGATAATGGGATGACTCAAGGTGGTTAAAATCTGTAAAGGTTTTGTTAATAAAATGCAAGATGGAGATATTTGTGTACTGTATTTAACTTGACTTGTAGAGGTGGGGGAAAAAATCGATACAGCATAGTATCACAATATTTTACTTTAATATTATATCCCCAGGGGTTGCACAATTTATTTTTAACATGTTGCATTGTTAAAAATTCCTGCAGTTGTACAGTTGTCCATACATGTTTGTGTTCAGTTAAGTTTGATTAGACTGAAATACTAACAGTTCAGATTGTGAGGAGCATGTGGCCTTTTACTGAGTTGAACTTTTATCACAGTCTTGGTCAGTCTGTGGATTTGACTCCCATTGTGTAGAAATAAAAAAAGACTTAAGTGAGATGAAAAAACTGACAATTTTTTCTTATTTGACAAAACAGTTCCTGATTTGGTTTAGTATAGTGGACATGATATGCAGTTAAAAAGGTACATGGTATTATATTGTATCCAGTTCTCCGCAAATCACAATGTTGAAAATCACACCAATATCATATCGTGTGGACTCCTCCCCACCCCTGGGAGTTAACCCATCGAGATCAAGATCTGTTCCACAAGGGTGACCAGGCCTAAGGGGCAGCAACACACGTCATAATTAACATTTTATATGATGAAGTAACAGTTTACAAACAATATGTTAAGAGCAACAACGAGCAAAGTGCCCAAGTTACAAATTACAACTCAGAAACACAAGATGTGTCCAATGGTCTTAGGTTTTTGTCAAATATGCTTTTGTATTGTTTGCACACTTCCAACAGTAACAAACTTGATGTAGTTTGTGCTGAATTTTAGGTTGCAGGATTGTGTTTCACCATGCAACACTACCCTCACCTAAAACCTGCAAACACATAGTTCACCTTTCATCGTGGAAAAAAAAAAAACCTTGCATAGTTTGCCTGTAAAAAAAAAACGTTTTCTACGTGTTGTGGTTAAAATTAGAGTGATCTGTCAGTCATTTACTCACTCAGTGTGAATGTCTGCAGTCCCACATTTGTTTCAGAAAGCAAGAAGCTACAAATATCTCATTAACTCTGCTCTGGTCTGAGCAGCGAGGGCGTCCTCTCTTAGATCAGTGTGATCCCAGGAGGATGGGTGTGTTGGGCTGCCAGAGAGCAAAAGTAGCCTGGTTCTGGTTCAGGGCGGCTTTAGATGGTTGTGCACTGGATTGGACTATTGGTGTGGTGTTTTTATCAACGTTTGACAGTCACGAAGAATCAAGGTGTGATGTCACAAGAACAAAACTTTGTTTTTCCCGTCTTCACCTTTTTGTGCCTTTTTTATTGGAGAGACAAGACAGTGGCTAGAGTTAGAAATCAGAGAGAGAGAGTGGGAAACAACATGCGGGAAAGGAGCCACAGGTCCAATTTGAACCTGGGCTGCCTGCCTGCCTGGGGGGCTACAGCCTCGGTAAATGGGGCGCGCGCCCAGACCACTTGGCCACCAGTGCCCTAAACATAACCACCTTTAAATGGAGTTTCCAAAAAATCTTGACCCTGGAAGAAGTTTTCCAAAAGGTGTGTTTTCAATTACATAAATGCGTATGAAAGGCCAAAACGCACAGAAAAAATCTGTTTGAAAAAAATACCCGCCTACGTGTGGACTAGCCCTCAGAATCGCCTTCTTTCTATGGGTTCTGTCTCCCTGCGTGTTAAGTTAATCTTCTGAATCCTTGAACTTTCTTGTCATTTGAGAGTTAAGCCAAATGAGTCAAAGCTTTTACCATCAGCAGATAGTGCCGTGAAGAGATACTTGCTAATTTCTGCATTTCTAGTGTGATACGTCTTAGCATGCAGCGCCATGTTTGCCTACATGCAACAGCTTTATTGTTTTAACTGTGGCAGCAGACACAGAACACCTAGGAGGGTTTTTAAATCAAACTTGGACATGATGAGAGTTTGTCCGTTTGTGTCGAGGTCACTGGAAAGTTTCATTGTTTGTAATTTTGAGCTGAATGGTGAAACACGCCTACCCTGATGGAAAATGCAGCATCTGAAGATGAAGCTGATATAACATCAAGCTTACTGAGGGAGGAGAGCAGGGTGTGAACATGCAGTTTTTAGTGCTGTGCAGCAGTGTTTCTCTCATGCTGGCTGTACACTTTCAGGTAAAAAAACAACAACAACTGCTGTTAAAGTTTAAATTTAGCTTGTCTTCAAATGTGGGTTGATATATACATTTGTACAAAGCTTGTGTGGCAAGCGTCATATTGGATGGACAAATCTCATTTCACTGGAAACATTGAAGTGTCAGGTGCAGCCCTGAGCTGAAGCCGACTCTGGTGTGTCCCTGAGTCGGCTTCAGCTCCTCTCAAGGTGCGTCTCTGTCGCAACGTGATGATCATAGTGCGGTGGGATCAGGGCCAGAGGTTTCCTTCCATACATCAGAGACACAATAAAAGGTGTTGCTTACCTTGATGACGTGCTGCAGGTTTCTAACTGGTGTCAGCTTCTTTGACCTGCAGCGCTTTTGTCCGTTCTCTGCGACGGCTTGTACCGAGGGTGGTAGCATACTTGCAGGCAGGGTTAGGAATGAAGAAAATCGCTCACCTGTAGCAGTTCTAAGCTTATAAAAAGGTCATCCAATGTCTGCCACAAGGTACCGAGCTGATGAACCAATCAAGCCTCCCCGTCTCCCTGCTCACTCTCTTGCGTACACTAGCCCACACTCAAAGCTTGTCACCAATGACAGAGTTTATACTGTGAGTTGGTCGTTGGGAGCAGTAAAATAGTCATTTTTTTTAAACATGTATTTTGATAAAGTTTAGTGTTTATGCTGAATGAGACATGAGATGACGTAGTTTCTACACAATGCAAGAGATGAGTTGAGATCCGCTTCTGGAGCAACGGCACTTGTGTATGTAAGTGAGGGGGCGTGGCTTTAGAGGGAGCACAGAGGGGAGGGGGTGGGTGTAGACGGAGCACTGAGGGAATGCTACTTTCAAAATATGCTAGTTTTTGAAAATGACTAACCCTGCCTAAAGGGGTTGTGATATTTTACTAAAGAAGTAATTCATGGGAAGACTTTGTGATTAATAGACCCGCATTAGTGGCGGCAGTAGCCAAGCGGTTATATTGTGTGCCTCATGTATAAAGGTTTAAGTCCTTAAAGTGGGCGGTGTGGTTTTGAAACTGACCTGTGGCTCGTTTCCTGCATGTTCTCTCTCTCCCTTTCTTATTTCTGATCATATCTACTGTCCTGTCTCTCTAATAAAGGCATAAAAAGCCCCAAAATAAATCTTACAGAGACAAAAGTCAGCATTTAACAGTAAAAAACAAAAAGATGGTTAGAGCGATGAAACACAAGAAGGATATGGAAATAGATCAATCGGTTTTAACAAACATGCACATTCAAGAAAGGAAATACCTTGTTAAAATATTTGACTATATGGGTACGTTTAATAAGAAAAAGTTAACCAGCGGCTAGCTAATACAGGGGAAAACTTAATTAATGAAATAAATTAAACAAAATAGACTAAAAATTCAGTTCATAAACAGTAAGTCAAAGCTATACTTTGAACCTCTTTTTCTTTTTACAAATACAAACGTAGCATTACTGTTGTATTTATTCAGAAGCATCAAGATGATAATTCTGTTCTTAATAAATGTTAGCCACAGCAGCACTAATTGACACGTTTAAGAGGTTTTAAACACTTCTGAGAAACATTAGTTTCACAAATTTGTATTTGTACTCAGCATATTTTAATTTGCATTATAGAGGTGTTACTATGAGGACTCTGCGGGTCGGCACTTAGCTGAACGTAGGTCATGGCTTCAGAGCGTAAACAACGGACCAGTGGATGCACAAACTCTGAGACTTTATGGTTGTAGAAACAGAGATAAATCACAGCGACTGTCCCGTTTAGGGATGCAGTTTATCAGTTTGATATTTCTTCAAAGCAGCCACATGTCTCGAGTAGATAGATGTTGTCATCTTTAGATTACGCAGGAAGTCGATAAGGCAGGGGGGAGGGAGGGGGAGACACTCTGACGTCATGATTAAGTTAGCGGCGGACCGGCCCCCCCAGCTAATCAACTTAATCAGTTGTGCTGAAGACCAGTCTGGTTTCCTGTTCATCACAGAGCTATCACAGCTGACTGTGCTGATCAATGTCTTTATCAATATGAAGAGGTTCACTTTACACACAGGATGTCCCGCAGTCGAGGAGGAGGGAGGAGAGTAGCTGTAGCTCTCGAATAATAATGAAATTGAAGGGCTCGTTTACCTATTTTTGACCTTCTCTCTGTCTATCCGAGTAAAGTATAAATGGTCAAAATGTCTGCAGATGATGGGAATGTTTTCTAAATCTGCAAAGCTGCAAAATCTGTCGTTCTTATTGCTTCAGCACCATCATTTCACGTACCCAGTCTCCTGCTAGATCTATGAACTATCACACTTAGATTTCTATGCAAACTAGCCACAAAACTTCTCCACAAAGAGAAAATTATCCAGAAGATCGATCGCTGAGTATGTAACCAACAATGTGACATGTTAGCATTTCGGCTGTCTGTTTACTAGATGACCGATTATGAAGTGGAGTTGGCCGTGCATGTGCAATACATCCTATTGTGTAGGCACTACTGGCATTGTACTCAGCTTTCTGCCGATTGTTTCTTTGTTTAGATTCCAAAATTGTTTAACTAAAGCTCTGAAAATGTGTCCTGGGATAGCCTAACCTAGCAGTCGCATGTCCCATGTACAGAGGGCTGTAGTGTAGTTGCAGCAGCTGCAGATTTCAAAATCGAACTAAATGCTCAGGAAGAAAATGTCCATGCAGAAAGTGTAAAATGTGATTCTAGTAACGATCAATCGATATCGATGCCTGTTTGGATACCATGGCAACAAAAAAGAAGTTATGTTTTTTTATTACCAAAAATTGCATGCAAACTCCTGCACACTCTCTGAATTGAACATATACATCTGCAACATTTTGCATTTGTGCATTATAGACATTGCTCTCAAATTTTCTTTTGCAGTAACTTTATCGTTAAGAAATCATGAGAGTTCAAATCGTTTTCAAACAAGTGGTACTGAAGTATCAGATATTCTGACAACCTTAGTCCTGACGAATTACCACACTGGGACCAGTTTAAATATATATTTCACCAGCTCTATAGCACCAACCATTTCCATGAGGTCATTTCATGTTTTGATCAGTCCATAGTAGCAGTGCAAATCGGTGTCTGTTATTTGCTGTCATCCTGCAGTAATTGAACTCGAATAAGTTCTTCTTTCCTTTGCTCTAACTGTAGTTACTAGTAGCAACCATTAAATATAATATTGCTGTGCACAAGTCCTGTGGCGTGGGGGATGAGTTGTGGCATTGAAAATTACCTTTGGGACCAAGAAGCTAACTTGTTAGTGTTTAGACTTGTTGGATTTTATAGAAGCACAGAAATATGTTCCCTAATAAAGCCCAACTTAAACAGGAGAATAAAAGCTGCGGTATGAAATCTTTGCAGGTTTCGTGTTTTCTGTCAGGCCACCTACCTGTGCTGACTGTAAAGTTTGAAGAATTTAAATGCAGTTTGAGGCTACATCTTCCAAGTGGCTGTCAAACTGCAGCAGAGCGGTAAATCATGAGCCTTTGTGGGTGTGCATGTGGCCCGTCTGCTGCTGTTACAGGGAAAGTTTTCGGTCAGGTCTAGACTGGCTCTGTAATACAGTACATACCAGCAGATCAGCTGTGAGCAGATCCTGGGTTCATTTATAGCCGTGGCCTTGTGTCCCTGCACGTCTGCCTGGCAACTCCTCACTCTACTGCTCCAACTCCTCCAGCTCACCCACCTCTCAGACACTTTGGCCCCATTAGACTCACCATGCTTAATTACTAGATACGCAGCAGTCTAGGGAATTAAATGTAGGGCATTCTTTATGTAGCTTTATGTGGGGCGTCGTAGCTGCTGTGATTTCTCCACCTGTGACTGACTCAGTTTGTCTCCTGTTCTCTGCAGCTCCCCGGAGCTCCTGTTGATGAAGAAAGTGGGCAACATGTGGAGCAACTTGAAGAGCAAATGTCAGACTCTGTTTCACAGCAGCAGCTCAGGACCCGGTGAGAGCAGGCCGGACGCCAACGCAGTCCACTGTGTGCTTGACATCGGACAAGGAGGCAGCTCAGATGAGGCTCAGGTGTCCGAAGCCCCCAGTCCATCGCGAAGCCTCCTGCCAGTTCCTATGGTAACAGCAGGCCGCCGCCATCACAACTGTGTGTCAGACATCCCTCAGATTGTAGAGATCACTCTCGACAAGGACACTGAGGATGTGCGGGGGGGCTCAGGGGGCGTTCCTATGGCCCGCAGAGACTCTTATTCCCGTCATGCCCCATGGGGGGGCAAGAAAAAACACTCATGTTCACCAAAACCCAAAGTTCCTTGGAAGCAGACAGGCGGTCTGGCCGTTTACGGGGTAGCGGGAATAGGAGGGATCGACGTTATGGAATTGGCTCCATCCAGGAAATGAGCGACTCCGTTTCTGGAGGACGCAGTCTGAACGCTCGCTCTCTGAAGCAACGGCTGAGTGACACTGTTGGGCTGTGTTTACCCCTCCCCCCTCGCAGACGCTCAGCTAAGAACCCCGTTACCTCCAAACGCAAGATCCACCTGACGGAGCTGATGCTGGAGACCTGCCCCTTCCCCCCTGGATCAGACCTCGCACACAAGTGGCACCTGATCAAGCAGCACACGGCACCAGTTAGCCCCCATTCCTCCACCGCCCTGCTCGATGCCTTCGACCCAGCCCACCCCTCCCCTGAGGACGAGGAGGAGCGTCTGCGTGAGCGCCGCAGACTTAGCATCGAGGAAGGTGTGGACCCCCCTCCCAATGCACAGATCCACACCCTGGAGGCCTCAGTGCCTGGCTCCTCTCTCTACAAACTGGGACCAAAGTTGGCTCCCGGCACAGGGGAATCCTCTGGGGAGGTCCGGTCCTTGGGGTCCGGCAGCTCTGCGAGTGCTGGATCATCGGGGGCCTGCAGTTCGTTGTTGGGGGCTGCAGCGTCGGCTCAGGACTGTGACTCGGAGGAGGACTCGACCACCCTCTGTCTGCAGGCCAGGAGGCCCAAACAGCGGCACGCTTCAGGGGACGGACAACTGAGCCGGCAGCAGCCTGGACCCTGGAAGGTCCACACCCAGATAGACTACATCCATTGCCTCGTCCCGGACCTGTGGCAGATCACTGCTCTGCCCTGCTACTGGGGCGTGATGGACCGCTATGAGGCCGAGGCACTGCTGGACGGGCGGCCGGAGGGCACCTTCCTGCTGCGTGACTCGGCCCAGGAGGTCTACCTCTTCTCCGTTAGCTTCCGCCGTTACAACCGCTCGCTGCACGCCCGCATCGAGCAGTGGAACCACAACTTCAGCTTCGACGCTCACGACCCGTGTGTGTTCCATTCGTCCACTGTCACAGGACTGCTGGAGCACTACAAGGACCCCAGCGCCTGCATGTTCTTTGAACCGCTGCTCACAGCGCCGCTCAATCGGACCTTTCCCTTCGGCCTGCAGCACCTAGCTCGGGCCGCCATCTGCCGCTGGACCACTTACGATGGTATAGGCTCTCTGCCACTACCACCCGCCCTGCAGGACTTTCTCAAGGAGTATCACTATAAACAGAAAGTACGAGTCCGCTGGCTGGAGAGGGAACCGCCAACAAAGGTCAAATAGGACGGGGCTTCTCTGAGCCTGCACGTACGCTGCAGGAGGGTTACACATCCTGAGGAGCTCCTCGTTAGAGCTTTAGAGACATTTCTCTCTTTCTGATGGGGGATGAAATCTAAATGTAACAAGCTATACAAGATTCATTCTAATCTTTGCTTTAGTTATTACTTACATCACAGAAAATACATATGATTATATTCAGTATAACGCTGTCTGGCAAGCACATGTTTTTGTGTTGAACAGGTTGTTTTGACCAGGAGGGGAGGCACAAATATCAGAGCTTTGTGTCTTTTCTCTCCTGCTTTGTGCTAAATGTCTGCCTGATCCCACCACTTCATCACCTGCCTGTACACCTGCCTGCATGCCTCCCTCTTCATCCCAAACCGCTATTTAAGCCCACACGGCTCCGTTGTACAGTTCACTTTGTGCTCTCCCTTTTTTTTTTTTTTCTTTCTTCCTGAGCTTGTCAAAGCACAGAGTGGAGCACCTTCACAGGAGGTGTGTGTGTGTGGTGGAGAGGGCATCTGGAGGTGCTTATTGGTGTATTGCAGTCACAGCTCGTCCCATGGATGAAGCTACATACTTCAGCATCCCTTTGCACGCGTGGCATGAGCTTCAGCCGAGTCGGGACACATTCAGAGCAATCAGGGAAACGAAACGCCTAGTGAGGGCTACGGATGAGTCCTTCAACATGAGTTCCCCCTCAAGCAGTAATGGTGACAAATGATCAGTCTACTGTTTCATTAAGAGCGAGCTGAACTTGTCAACTTTATTCCCACTGTGTGGTTTCAAAAAAGGAGAGACATTACACGGAAATATTCAGACACGTCGGGCCATTGTTGCACTTGTGAAAGCAGTTTGTCAGTTCTGAGGTGCACATACGAGCTCTATGACATTTAGGAAAACATTTGCGCAGTTTGCTGTTTTAAAAGAAATGTTTTAGCTTTATTATTTTGTTTCACACCTGCCTCCTTCTGTCAGCATCTTCCCGGGCATCGACCCTGTGTAGCCATCCTCCTGAGCCACGTTTCTTTATAGATCAATAAGCTAACATTTTTTACACTTTACATCTACCCTTCCTCAATTGTATAACTTCTCCAACCAACAGTCCCAAACTCAAATGCTGTCCGTGCATGGTAACAAACGTCAAAGAAAAGCAGAACAAAATGAACAAATCAGAAGCTTACACCGGCAAATGTTTGATAATTCTGCTCATGCAACCGTTGACCAATTATCGAAATAGTTGCAGACAATTTCCTCAAATTGACGCATGTAAATATTTATGTTCGACACCTGTTGTTCTTTCTCCGACTTCCACAGAGGTCTGCAAACATTTCTTCCTCCCTCTCAGTATTTTACTCTGAACCCCGAATCAGAGGAGGCCGACGGAAAACACTTGGAATATATCCTGTGACCTTAATCCCTGTCTTTTTTTTAACAAAATGTGTTTTTAAAAAAAAATATATATATTTATTAATTTAAGAAAGTAACTCTTAGATAAAGGAAACGGGGACCTGACATTTAGTTGACCCTGCATGGTGCAGGTATAAGGTGCTGATTTAACTCTCTGATTTACACACAGTAGAGAGGTGATGGTCTCCAACACTTCAGTGATTACTTTCCGAAGGTCTCACTCAAAACAACGCCTTCATCGCCCAGTTTTTAGAGTCGAAGTTGAAGCGTAGACTGCAGCCGAAGCTCGCTTGAGTTATGTAATTTGACTGGTTGTAGTTGTGCGTGCGTGTGTGTGTGCGTGCGTGTGTGTGTGTAGGGCTACAACATAAAAGACCTCAAGTCCACTCTAATCAGTCCGTTGAATCTCTGCACTTTGGCTTCATTGTAACAGCATAGGAAGTTTGCAACTGAACACACCAGGTCTCGGAATAACCCTGAAGTGTGTCCGAATTATCCTCAGCGGTCTCATCATCTCAAAAACACAGAAACTGTAAATAAAACCTGTAGAAAGACTTAAAGAGCCCATATTCTGCCCTTTTTGGGGTTCGTATATTTAATCTATGTACCTACTTTTGTACATTCACAATAGCTAAAGTTTGAAAAAAGTGTCTGTTTTCATGTACTGCTCCTCCTTGCTCCCTCTTCGCTCTGAGTCCGTCAGCTACACTCTGCTGAGCCCACACTGTTAGACCCCACGTGGGCCAAGTCTGCTCTGATTGGTCTGCTGATCCACTCTGTCGTTATTGGTCAGTTGTTCAGCACGCTTCTCGGAAATTTCAACATGAGCTGCAGGGCTTGCCACAACGAGCCAATGGGCTTAGATCAGTGATCTCACACTGACAATGACGCTGCACTGACAAATTTTATCGAGGGGGGCTAGAACCGAGCGTTACATGCAGCTAATACTACAGCTAACAGGAGGACGTAGGAGAAGCCGCGTTTCCGCGGACTTTGAATTTTTGCAAATAGATGTGTCTAAACATGCACAGGACACAAAACACACTAAAGAGCATATAAAACCAGAAAATGCATAATATGGGACCTTTAACACTGCTGCGTCCTTTTAAACATCTGTGTTTCTGTAATTCTCTTCTGATAATCCTTAGAGGCTGAGAACTGAGCTGCAGTCCGATGTGTGGTGTAAGAAAGCGGTCAGCTGAAAGCCTGCACTCAAAGGAAACTTATTAACATAATTCTGACAGGTAAAAACATAACTTGATACATAATAAAAATTGATAAAATTGCGAGGCTATAGCTTCATGTTTAACAGCCAAACTTGATTCAACTGACAAAATCGGAGTCCGCTGCGTGGTCGGGACAAAAACGCTGCTGGTTAGGGGGTCATTTGTGTTGTGTTCTCTGAAGAGTAAATAAGTGTGACCTTGGTGCTTTTTTTTATTTTTAATTTTTAAACACTTCATCTTGTTCCAGTGTAGTCGAATCCTGAATCAGGCGGTGCTTTAACCCCATCGGTTAGACCGATGGAGGAGCTATGAGCTCACTCTGATGGTGCACGGTAAAGTTTTTACTATTCAAATGTCCGAGGTGCTATAACGGATTACAGTACACCTGTTGTGTCTGTAGTCCGGTGACTTCAACAGTGCTCATATTTTCAACTGGGAGCGCTTGATAAAGGACGCTGGGTGCTTCACTTTTGTCCAGGCGGCCGCTCGCTGCTGCAAACGCTCTCTCCTTGTTGAAAATTGAATAAAGACTCTGGTGCTAAGACAAAATGAATCCCCAGGTGGACACGGGGCCTAAGCGGTTTCTAAAGTTTCCTGCTGGTGTTTGAGTATATGGCCTCTAAAGTATAACTAGTGATCATTAAAATCAATCACTGGACGCAATTTGAGCTGAGCTGCCAGCAGCGCTTTCAGATTTTAAAGAAACCGGCGTTTCTTTGATGCTCTCAGGGGTCTGACCGAGGGGGTCTGACATCAATGACATTCTTGTGAGACTTGCTCGCTTGCGTTTCCTCTCGGCAGACTCCACAGTTGTGCGATGAGTGAAGACAAGAAATGTCGGTAAAAATGTGGTGTCTCTCTACCTGTGCAGAGATTGCTGGAGAGATTTCACACGCCCCATGTGCAGAGGAGATAGTCCTCATGGCAGTGGCCGAGGGTCCGAATCCGACCTCGGCCCTTGGCTGCATGTCTGACCACACTCTCTCCTCCCGACATGTTCTGTCTCTCTTCAGCTGTCCTATGCAATAAAGGCCAAAAAACTCCCCAAATATAGCTTTAGAAAGTTGCCTTCCCTATCTTCAAAATCCAACGTGTGCATCTCAGGAGGAGGTTGGAGAAATTCAGAGTTGTCCCCCTTTGTTGCATTAAAAGGAAACGATGAGCTGCGAGGTGTGCAGATGTGAAACCTGCAGGTCGGGTGTCAAACTGAAATCATCGAGCCTTAAGATGATCTCAAATTGCTTCATATTGATCGAATCAGTGAGGATGAATTACCTGAGTCTTTAAGCAAACAGCTGTGTAGTATTAATCAAAGAGGATATTTAAATTATGATGCAATTACAGAATGACAGACTGCTCTTCTACTCACCCGGTAAATCCCACACAGACACCCGAAAGTTCAAAAGAGGTGCAAAACCTGAGACAGGTAACAGGTGTTCAAAGATGATCCACGTAGGTACCCTGAACATTTCCCTCTCATAGAAGTCCAAAACATTTCCCATCGTTTGCACATTTGTCTTCAGAACCTTAAACACCAAATCGCCTCCGTGTTTGCTCTGAAGGAGCGACACAGAGAGAGAGAGAGAGACAGCCGGGGGATGAAGTTGACATTGATCTGCTCGTCTTTGCACTTTAATGTGTCAGGATTTTCAGCCACCTGTACATCCTATTTAAATAATGCACAGATGTAAAACTATCCTGCTCACTGTCACCTGTCTATCACGCTGGAGCGCACACACACACCTGGGTTCAGAGCCCCGCCCCTCTCACAGGCTCCAATCACAGGCTAATTTGACCATGATTGGATATGACTTTCCTGTGTACTGAGAGGTACCGTACAATCCGATTTTTAAGACTCATTCTGTCTCTGAGGGTTTAAAACTGTCTTCCTGCGCAGCGATTTCCATGCTGCTCGCAGTACTGAACGAGTCGTGTCAGGTCATGTGAGACAGTGGCAGCTGCACTTGTAATGGCGGTGCACATCTGTGCATTTTAAACTGGTATACTGGTCGAACAGGTATATAAGAAGCAGCCCACTTGTTGGATGAAAGCAAAAGGTGTTCATCTTATACACCGGACTTTACCGGGTTTTTATATTGTTCTGAAATCTGAGCTGACCTGGAGGTGTTTGTCCCGCTCTGTTGAAGAGGAGGAGGGTGACAGAGAGCTTCCTGTGCAACAGTGGCGTGCTCACGGAGAGGGCGGGCGAGGAGAGGAGAGGCGAGGGTTTTCTGAAGTAAAAAGCACTTTAATTGTGTACTTGTTGTGTTCCACAGTGTGAGAGGAATCAGGACAGTTTTTTGGTTGTTTTGGCTTTTTATTGCAGCAATGTACCTGTTTTAACCAATTTATCAAAGTTACATCATCATCATAGTATTTAAAAATGAATAAATATCAGTCTATTTTAAATCTTTTGACCACCATTTGTGATCAGAGTCCCTGTGGTGAGGGTTCTGAAATGTCCACGTTGAGGCTACGTCCACACTAATTCATCTGTATTTCACTCCAGCTCCGGTGTATCGTGGTGCGTTAGCGTTGGAAGCACTGCTGACCTCGTCTTAGTTTGTCTGCGGCTCTGTTGTACGTTATCAAGTCTCAGGAGACGAGACATGATGTACAAAGGCCGATTAAGAAATGGTGGACGAGGCAACAGAATCTGAGGTTTGATGACAGCTTTTATATCGTTGCAACTTATTCAACGCATCAACAGAAGAGTGAAGAAGAAAATACTGGCGATTGCAGTCTTAAGTTCGTACGTCGGCCGCAGGATACATAAACCTCACCAATCCCCTCCGACTTGCTGGTGGTGATTTTTCCTGAATATTTCCTGCTGCGGTCTCACGTCAGCGCACTCCCAACTTCACTGA